CCAACCAGCCAACTATCTCCAGGCTTCAGAAGCAAGCACTTGCGTTTCCTGAGCCATCTCACTGGCCTTTGTGTCTTTGTGTGTGCCTGTCTGTCTGTCTGTCTGTCTGTCTGTCTGTCTGTCTGTCTGTCTGTCTGTGTGTCTGTCTGTCCCTCTCCCCCCCCCTGTTGTGTTGTGTGTCTGATATTTACAGGAACATGTGTTAGGATAAATCTCGAGGGTGGACCTTGAGTGGGGAACCTTGGCGGATTCCACGTTGGGTGAAGTTGACCAAGGAGGAGGGACAAAGGCGCCAGGCAGGCAGAGCTTAAGTGAGAAGTTTTGTTAGAAGGGGCGGAGGGAGGTAAAGAGACACAGAGCCAGAGAGAGGACAGAAGACAAGAGGGAGACAGGGAAAGTCCTGTCTGCCCCAGGGGAACATGGGGGAAGAGAGAGGGAAAGAGAGGAGCAGGGAAAAGAGAGAGCAAAAAGAAAGCCTAAGTGGTTGGGGGTCTGACTTTTAAAGGGGTCCTTTGCACCTGCGTGCAGACTACACAGTCATGGAACCCTGGGCTGACCAGGGTACTGCCCGAGCGCACTCTGCCGGGTGACAGGGGCAAGCCAGCATAATGCCTGAGTCCTTACACAACATGGGAAGCTTACAATGACTGCACCACCGGAGGCAACCATTAGCTGCCTAGACATCCTCAGGGAGAGACAGGACCTGGGAGCTTGTCTCCCCTCCATGGGGGGATATTGACAGGCCCACCCAAACCTGTGCAGGTCTTGTGTTAAGTAACTGCAGGTGCTGAGAGTTCACGCCTGCCACAGCCTCACCATGCCCGGAAGACAGCGTTCCACGACGTTCCGCCCCTTCCTCCAGCTCTTTGATGCCGTCCCTTTATTTTTTTTTAATGGATTTTTGAAGTTTAACTTACAATGCAATTCGTTAATCTTAAAGGGTAAAATTTGATAAATGTCAACAAGTACATCGCTCCACCATAAGCATAATGTAAACACATCCAGAACCTCCTCGGTTTTCCTTTGGCCCCTCCACAGCTGGTTTCCTTTCCTTGCCACAAGCCCCTGGAATAAACTGATCTGCTTCCTGCCATGTAGTATTTTTTTTGCCTTTTGTTGAATTTCGTATAATCAGAAGAATTCAGAACACAGTGGTTTTGTGTCTGGTTGCTTCCATTTGGTGTGAGATCACTCCTCTAATAGCTCTCTGGAAGTCCATTGTGTGGATGTGTGGTAATTTGTTTCTCATTCATCAGCTGATAGTCATAGGGGTGTTTCGGGTGTTCAGCTTGTAGAAATACAGTCTCTGTAAGCATCCGAGACACAGTTACTGTGTGGTTGCATGATCTTGTGTGACAAGGATCCGGGCTGATAGAGGACAATGCGTTTGATTTTCCTGCCGTTGAGGGGTTTCCCAGGGTGTGGGGGTCCCCTCAAGTCGTGGGTGAATAGAGACCTTGTGATGTATTTTTGCGAGGGGTAACTTTGCAAGAAACTGTCAAACTGTATCCCAAAGTGACACATTGTTGCATTTTTTTTTTTTAACAACAAAGCATGAGGGTTCCATCGTGGAAGGGAGAGGCTCTTTCCTGTGGAAGAACATTTCTCGAACTCTCAGCATTTCCATTCTTGGTCTTAATTTCCCAGTTGCCTATTGTTCTTTGTCTAGGGTTTAGGCCCCATGAGCATTTCCCATTCCGTGTTAGCATGTCCACTGGGGGTGGGTGGCATTAAGGTTTTGTTTAGGCAGCCTTGAGATTTCATGGGTGTTACCTCTCTAACATTTCTAGGAGTCACAACCTCACCGTAAATTTCTTGTCTTTCTGGCCTTTACTGTCTTTTCACCCCATCTTCCACAGTGACTCCTGAGCCTGCTGTGCAAAAAAAAAAAATGTGTTATACATGAGCCAGCTGGGATCGGACACCACACATCTCTTGATCTCTTAGTTGTGGTTTTTTTCTCTAATGACCTCTGTTGCAAAGAGATGTTTCTTTGATAAGGAGTGAGAACTATACTTATCTGTGGATATAAAGATAAAAATTTAGAATGTAATTGGGAATTGTGCCGGTTTAGGAAAATTGTGTTTAAACCATTTTTAATCTTAGAGCAGCACCCAGCATGGAGGTGCATGCCTTTAATCCAAGCATTTGAGAGGCAGAGGTAGGAGGATATCTTTGTGAGTTGGAGGCCGGTCAGAGTTATATAGGAGACCCTGTCTCAATAAATTCTAGCTAGGCATTGGTGGCGCACACCTTTAATCCTAGCACTCAGAAGGCAGAGGCAGGAGGATCTCTGTGAGTTCGAGGCCAGCCTGGTCTAGAGAGTGAGTACTAGGACAGGCTCCAAAGCTACAGAGAAACCCTGTCTAGAAAGAAATAATCTAAAAATCATGGTGCAACATGTGTATATAATTGGCTCAAATGCTCAATGATAAGAATAGCAACAGCGCATGCCTTTAATCCCAGCACTCGGGAGGCAGAGGCAGGCTGATCTCTGTGAGTTCAAGACCGGGCTGGACCGACAGCCTCCAAGACAATACAGCGAATCCCTGTCTCATAAAACCAAAAAAAAAAAAAAAGCAACAGAACAGCTGCTGGGGGTGGCTCAGTGGGTAAAGGGGCTTGCCCTGAGCCTGATAACCTGAATTCAGCTCATATATTCATTTGTGGAACAAAACAGATTGAACCGGAGGACATCCTACTACTTGAAACAAGTCAGACACATAAAGATAAAATAATAGCCAGTCGCTTATAGATAGCACCACACATTTAAAGTGTTGTATCAAATTGTGTGATGATTATCAAGAAGTTATGGAAGCAGGCAATAGATTTTAAGGTTAAGTAAAGAGGAAAGGGCTGGAGAGATGGCTCTGCAGTTAAGAGCTCTGGCGGAGGACCAGGGTTCAGTTCCCAGCACCCACATGGAGACTTACAGCTCAGTGCCACAGGATCTGCTGCCCTCTTCTGAACTCTAAAGGTATTGCAGTCATGTGGTGCACAGACATACATGCAGGCAAAACACCCGTGCACACAAAGTAATTCTTAAAAAAGAAAAAAGTAAGAGGAGCGAGATAGTTTAAGTTTTCTTATTTTTCCTTTTCAGAAGGGATCTCAGGGTTAAACTATTTAAATGGGGGAGACAGACAAGTGACCGGTCATAAATGAAGCCTGATGAGTCACAAGATTTAGGCAGATTACTTTTTTTAATTACTAAGCGAGAATCCAATCACTTAGTATTTTCCAGGTCTTTAGCCCAGTGCCTGGCACATAGTAAACACTGAATAGACAGTGTCTATTTTTTAAAAAGATTTACTTAGCCGGGCGTTGGTGGCCCACGCCTTTAATCCCAGCACTTGGGAGGCAGAAGCAGGCGGATCACTGTGAGTTCGAGACCAGCCTGGTCTACCGAGCAAGTTCCAGGACAGCCTCCAAAGCCACAGGGAAACCCTGTCTCGAAAAAAAAAAAACCAAAAAAATAAAAAATTAAAAGATTTACTTATTCATTATGTATACAGTGTTCTGCCTGCATATATGCCTGCAAGCCAGCAGAGGGCGCCAGATCTCATTATAGATGGTTGTGAGACACCATGTGGTTGCTGGGAATTCAACTCAAGTCCTCTAGAAGAGCAGACAGGGCTCTTAACCACTGAGCCAGTCTCTGGTTTTTTTTTTTTTAAGTATGGTTCTGATGCTAAGTAACAAGTGGGCTGGCCTTAGCGGTTGGCAGGCCTGAGTTCGTCAGCAGGTCAGTTCCTAAAAGCAATTTGAGGAACCATGTCTCAGTTACTCTGGGTTGTGGGAGTTCTTTGTCCTAATTCTTGGAACTGCTCTTTTTTGGGGGACAGTTTGGATTTCTGCTAACTGATGCTATACGTGACCTTGGGGCAAGCTGGTTAACCTCACTGAGCCTTTGGGAATGTAGGGGGAATGTTAGCTAATGAAACAATTATATGTGACTGGTATGGGGACCCAGTCTAGCAGAGTCCCAGCCTTAGTCACTGTGCCATGCTCCTCCTTAATAAGTGTATACAGGTTGGGTGTGGTGGAACGCAAGAAACTGAGGCAGGGGGATGACAAGTTCAAGGCCAACCTGGGCTACTTAGCAATGCTCTGCCAAAATAAAAAAGGATGCAGGAGGCTGGGGATGAGGGTATAATTGCCCCTGTTATAATACCCATGTCAGCGCCACACTGATTTCTACGGTCACTTTGCCTGTTAACTTGTATAATCTGCTATTGATGGGCAGAAAGACCATTATTATTATTATTATTATTATTATTATTATTATTATTATTATTATTGTTATCTTGGTTTTTTGAGACAGGGTTTCTCTGTATTGTCTTGGAGGCTGTCCTGGAACTCACTCTGTAGACCAGGCTGGCCTCGAACTCACAGAGACCCGCCTGCCTCTGCCTCCCGAGTGCTGGGGTTAAAGGCGTGCACCACCAATGCCCGGCTCAGAAAGACCATTATTACCTGGAATCATCAGACGTCCCCTCCTCCTTTTCAAATCTACCCATGACTACTTGATAATAAATTAAGTTGATAAAAGCCTTCAAAGATAGGTTGGTGACCCAAGGCAATGACGGTTTCTGTCAGTTCAAGAGTACTTAGATGCCAGGTGGCGGTGGCGCATGCTTGCAATTCTAGCACTTAGGAGGCAGAGACAGGCAGATCTCTGTGAATTCTAGGCTAGCCTGATCTACAGAGCTAGTGCCAGGACATCCAGGGCTATACAAAGAAATCCTGTCTCAAAAAAAGAAAAAAAAGAAAGAAAAGAAGAAGAAGAAAAGAAAAACCCAAAAAAAACCCACACAAACAAACAAAAAGCAAGCCCCCCCCCCAGTATCCCAGAGGACCTGGGCATCCTCAAGTTTGGAAGGGTTAAACAGACAAGTGGCGTTTGTTTGGGATCTGAAAAATCTGGGCAATGGGGCTGCAGCACCCTGACATGAGGGACATGCAGAGATCTCATGTTTCTTTCTTGTGTTGTATTACAGCCACACCCCTGCTCCCCTTGAATATGGAGAAGATGCTGGTGGCGTGCTTGCTAATGCTTGGGCAGTTCCTTGTTCTGCCGGCTGGAGCCAGGGATCGTCCCCAAACCAGGTTCCCCTCCAGAGGCCGCCATGTCCGGACGCACCCCCAGACTGCACTGCTGGGTGAGCGAGGGGGCACCTGCAGCAGCTCGCAGTGGTGTGGACCCTGGAGCATCCTGGACTAGAGCACCCTGACTGGGGGGACTCTTGCCTCTGGGTCCTCTACTGGCTGTGCTGGGGATGGGGGTGGGGGGGGCTGGGATGGGGGCTGGTGTGGGGTGGGGAGGAGTGCCTCTGGACTGAGGATGGGAAGTATCCAGTTTTTCAGGTTACAGTTAAGCTTCTTCTATTTTAAAGCCTTGGGTTTAATGTGAGCTCATGACTTTGCTCCATTACACAGGGGCAAAGAGTTTTCTTCTGGCCCGGGGTGGTGGCACACGCCTTTCATCCCAGCACCCAGCACTCGGGAGGCAGAGGCAGAGGCAGGCAGATCTCTGTGAGTTCGAGACCAGCCTGGTCTACAAGAGCTAGTTCTGGGACAGCCTCCAAAACTACACAGAGAAGTCCTGTCTCCAAAAACAAAACAAACAAAACAAAACAAAAAACCCAAGAAACAAACAACAACAATAAAAAAAGAGTTTTTCTCTGAAAATGTCCCTGATGGACTTACCTGGACAGGGATGCTATGAGAAAAAAAAAGTGTATTAAACTTGTCTGGATAAGTCCGTCCATATTCCAGCATAGGCGGTATGGGGGAAAAGCAGGCGTGACAGAACGGAAGGAAAGTGGAAGGTCCCGGTTATTTCCATCTAGTGAACATGCTTTCTCCAGAAAGAAAATGTCACAAAACATAGCGGAATACCCACAAACTGTCTGGTTTGACAAGCAGGCTGGCCAACTGTGGTGATATCTTGTTTGTGCTGTAACAAATAAAGCTTGAATGAAGATCAGAGGGCGGAGCCAGGCACTGGTTAACCATAGAGGTCTGGAGGTCTGTGCAGACAGACAGGAAGTGACGTGGCTGGGTGGAGAGAGGAAGTACAAGGTGAGAGGAGACCAGGGCTCGCCCCTTCTTCAGCTGATAAGTTGGCGAGGTAAGAGTTGGTTGTGGCTTACTCCTTTGTCTCTCTGGTCTTTCAGCATTTACCCTGATATCTGGCTCCGGGTTCTTATTATTTTTGATGAATTAGAACCCGTGCAACAGCCAGTGTAGCGAGAACATATTTTGGCGTGGACCTGGATTAAGTCCAGCTGCTAATTTTTGCTGGGTGACTTCTCTGAGGGCTCGGTTTCCTTGTCTGTAAAATGGGCACAGAAACGTTGACCTTGGAGCATTTTCCAGGGAGTCAATGAGGCTGTTTCTGTAAATTCTACATGTACAGTAAACATTGGCTTTAGCATACGTCTGCATGACAGTCTGTGAAGACACTTTATGTTTATGGCTTGTGGGCAGCTGGTAGAGCCTGGGCCCTTTGGACACATACTGTGGTGACCACGAGTTGCAGTCCAGGGACCAAAGGACTGAAAAGCCCTGTTCTGATGGGGTCTTTAGTCTCCCGAGAGACCCGGTGCATACATTGAAAAGAACTGGGAAATGTTTAGCATTGATTCCAGGGTCAAAACAAAAAGCCATTTCAAGATATTTATATGATTAACATGATATGTGTCTAAGTATACATAAATAACTGAATGTATCCTGATGCTTCTTATGTCGCCATCTGTGACTGCACGGTTGGGCTTATTTTACTTTTTTATGATGTTAGGGACGGAACCCTGAGCCTTTCACATACTAGGGACGCATGGCATCATGGGGCAGTGTCAGAAGCCCCACAAAGAGTTTTCATTAAGGCTAGTTTGGGGGATGAACCATCCCCAGCTTGACTGGGAAAGCATAAACCTTCTCTTTTCTTCTCTTGGCTCCAAGTCTGTCTGTCTCTCTGTCTCTCTCTCTCACACTCATCAGTCTCTGAACTGGTAATGCTAAAACTTCTGAGCCAAGAGGTAGACACCTATTTTGCTAAAGGCATTGGTCCCTGTGTGACAGTTTGAATGAGAATGGCCCCATGGGCTCACACGTTTGCTGGTTTGGTTCCCAGTTGGTGAATTGTTTGAGAAGGATCAGAAAGAGTAGGAGGTGTGTCCTTGTTGGAGGGGGTGTGTCCTTGTTGGAGGGGGTGTGTCCTTGTTGGAGGGGGTGTGTCCTTGTTGGAGGAGGTGTGTCCTTGTCGGAGAGATGTGTCCTTGTTGGAGGGGTTGTGGCCTTGTTGGGGAGGTGTGTCCTTAGTGGAGGATGCGTGTCCTTGTTGGAGGGGGTGTGTCCTTGTTGGAGGAGCTGTGGCCTTGCTGGAGAGAATGCGTCCTTGTTGGAGGGGTTGTGGCCTTGTTGGGAGTGTGTGTCTTTATTGGAGGGGGTGTGTTCTTGTTGGAGGGGGTGTGTCCTTTTTGGAGAGAATGTATCCTTGCTGGAGGGGTTGTGGCCTTGTGGAGGGGTGTCCTTATTGGAGGAGGCGTGTCCTGTTGGAGGGGGTGTGTCACTGGGGGGTGGGCTCTGAGGTTTCAAAAGCCCACTCAATTCCCAGTCAACTCTTTCTCTGCCTCTCACTGTGGAATCGCATGTACGCTCTCAGCTACTGCTCCAGTGCCGTCTTGTCTATTATGCTCCCTACCATGATGACCATGGACTAATCCTCTGAAACTGTGAGCCCCAGTTAAATGCTTTCTTTTATAAGAGTTGCCCTGAAGCTGGGCGGGGGTGGTGCACGCCTTTAATCCCAGCACTCGGGAGGCAGAGGCAGGCGGATCTCTGTGAGTTCGAGGCCAGGCTGGACCGACAGCCTCCAAAACAATACAGAGAAACCCTGTCTCGTAAAAAACAAAAAAACAAAACAAAAAAAGAGTTGCCCTGGTCGTAGTGTCTCTTCACAGCAACGGAACAATGACCAAGACATCCCCCAACCAGTGCCACGCTCATTTTCCTGGGGACAGAGCACACCTCCAACTTGGGCCTGGAAGTCAGTCGCACGCTGTGTGTAGTTGCTTTTCTGAGCCTTGCACACTGATGTTCCCAGAGATGCAGAAAGGCAGCTGCTCACACAGGAGGTTAGCCACGAGACTGCAAAGCAAACTCTGCCGCTCTATCCGGTGTTCCGGATCACAGTCTGCTTTGGGTAGCACTTTGAAGGGAGCCAGGGTGGAGAGGCCACACTTGTTGGCTGGCCTTAGCCCGGTTGTGTGACCTTTCCTTCATCCTCACAGTAGGGTATCTTGTTTTGTATGTGTGTTTGTTATTCTTTCCATGTTCAGAGCTCTGTTCAGGCCACAGTGCCTTCCTGAAACAAGTTACTTTGGCCACATTTGTGGTGTCTCTCAGCATGATGTATTCCCTGGTTGTTTGCTTACAAGAGTTTCTCTGTAAGAAACAAAATTGTCTCTTAGGTTATTTTATTTGTTTATTTATAGGTAGCTCTCTCTGGTCTGGAACTCTCTATGTAGATCAGGCTGGCCTCAAACTTTAGAGACCTTGTCTGTGTCTACTTCCTGAAGACTGGGACTGAAGGCATGTGCCACCATGCCCAGCCTACTTAGGTTAAGCTTCCCCCCCCGAACTGTTTAGGCTTATTATTATTATTTGTTTTTTCAAAACAGGGTTTCTCCGTGTGACCCTATCTGTTTCTGGAACTTACTCTGGTAGACAAGGCTGACCTTGGACTCACAGAGATCTGCCTGTGCTGAGATTAAAGGCACATGCCATCATGCCCTGCCCCCCCCCCAAATATAGGAATCCTCCTCGACTCCTAGTCCCACCTATCTTGCTTCCCTATTGGCCAACAGTGTTTTATTTATCAACCAATAAATAGGACAACATATACACAGAAGGATTTCTCCCATCAACTGTCCTGTTGGGGGTGGTGTGTGTGTGTGTGTGTGTGTGTGTGTGTGTGTGTGTGTGTGTGTGTGTTGTGGGGAGGGTACTATTTCCAGGGCAACCAGCACAGCATGGCAGCCTTTGTAGAAACCCTCAGTGTTGTGGCTTAACTGCTCACATATTCTCCATGTCTTCGTTCCTGAGGGGGCGTGCAAAGCAGTCTCTTCACGGTCTTTTCCTGTGGATATGCAGTGGCCAGCTTGCTTCCCTAGTTCTGTCTCTCTCAGGGTGTTGTGGAAGGAAGGGTTCACTCCTTCCTACATGTTCCAGCCTCGCCCACTTTGCTTCTACTAACTGACCTTGACATCTTTCCCTTTCCCAGCATTCCACGCAGAATTCATGGGTTTGTCTCGCAAAGGGCGACTTGAGGCAGTGTGGCAATAGACTCAAGAAATGAGTGGACCGGGCATTGTGGGAGCAGAACCCACTAATCTTCCCACGCAGTGTCAGGGAAAGTTTCAGAGGCGTTCAAGGGTAAAAGGCAACAGAATTTAGGAACGCTTCTTTATAAATGTTGTTTTGCTACTTGAAATAAAGCTAGTGAATGTAGGAAATCTGTATTAGTCAGTGTTCTCTAGAGTAGCGTAGCTTATAGAAGGACTCTCTCTATAGAGAGAGAGTCTATAAAGAGTATTTATTAGGATGACTTGCAGGCTGTGGTCCAGCTAATCCAGAAAGCGCTGACTGTGAACAAAAAGTCAAAGAATCTAGTAGTTGTGCAGTCCACAGGCCAGATGTCTTAGCTGGTCTTCCGTATACACCGGAACCCTGAAGGAGTGGGCTGTAATGCCAGTGATGGAATGGATTTGCCAGCAAGGTGAGAGTAGGCTGGCAAAAAGCCAAGACTTCCTTCTTCTATGTCCTTATATGGCTTCCAGCAGAAGGTGTGGCAGATTAAAAGTGTGTTTTCCCTCCTCAAGACCCAGATTAAAGACATGTTTTTTTTCCCAGCCCAAAAGATCTGGATTGGGGCTGGAGAGATGGCTCAGTGGTTAAGAGCACTGGCTGCTCTTCCAGAGGACACAGGTTCAATTCCCAGCACCCACATGGCAGCTCACAACTGTCTACAACTCGAGTTCCAGGGGATCCGACAACCCTCACATAGACACACATGCAGGCAAAATACCAATGCACATGAAAATAAATCATTTTTAAAAGTTGTATTATAAATATAAAGAAAAAGCCAGGCAGTGGCATC